CCGGAGGGAGGCGGGGACTGGGGACAGGAAGCTGTGGAGGCTGACTGAATGCTAACCAAGTCCTGGGCTCGCCCAGGGAAGGTTTCGCTGAACGTCTTGTATCAGTTAAGGGGAAATAAATATTTGGCAAATACCTACAAGGCAACGCCCAGCTGCAGTGCCTACTGCGGGCAGCCTCCGCCGAGGGGGCCGCGCTGGGCCCCTGCCCGCCCTGCCCGGACATGAGCCCAGTGCTTGGCGTGGCTGAGGATTCTAAGGGGGGTGGCAGGAGGAGATGGCCCTAAGTGCCAGGGAGTCACTCGCCGGACAGTTTGAGTCAATAAGTGGAACTGGGGTGGGGGGGGGTCCACCTGCACAAAGATTCAGGAAACAGAAGGGCCTGCTGGGTGCCTGCCTGCGCCCCCCTCCCGTGAACCGTGGGCCTTTTAAGTCGGTTTGAGAGCAAATCAAAGGCGGATCTGACAAGCAGCCAGGGAGCAGCTCTTCTCCAGAGAGGTTTTTCACGGGAAAGGAAATTTGGCGACAGGCAGGGGGCCGTGTGGATGACCAAAGGACTACAAATGAGGGAGAGAAATTGTGATGGAGACTCTGTCCGGGCAGAGGCGAGGCTCTGGGGGTCCCACCTGGCTTTCCCTTCCCCACCTATGTTAGAGGCACAGGCTGGGTGTGTGTGCACGTGTGACGAGGGGGAGAATGTGTGTGTGCACGGGTGTGTACATGTGCGCGGATGTACATATGCGCGCGTCCCAATGCGTTTCGCAGTCTAGTGAGAGCCCGTCAGAGGGAGAAAGGAGAGACATCTACCTGGGGGCTCGGCTTCGGCCGTGCCTGGTGCCGCTTCCGCAGATGCGAGGTGACCGTGACGCTTCCGAAAGCCCGGGTGGCTCTGACTTTGCCCGGCACCCAGCAGTGAATTCGCCCCACGCCGGGCTCTCCCCTCGCAGACCAATCCTCTCCAGCCCGCGCCCTTTCCCTGTGGTCACATCCAGAGAAGCAAGCATGTGATTTCAATTTGAAATTAAAAGTCATGTCTGAATAACAGAACGGCATTCTCATTTCCTAATACCCTGGTTTTTACTACTTTGCATTCAACTGTGAAAAGTCTTTTAAAACTCGGAACAGCAGTAAAACTTGAATGAATTTTTGACCCATTATTGCATAGCGGGTGTGCCTTCCAAGTTGGAGACACTGCCAAGTTCTCCCCACCTAATATTTCCACTTTAATTGTGCCACTTGAGAAATTTACGTGCCTCAAAATATGGCATGAATCTTACGCTTATTGCAGTATCATTAGCAGCAACATTTAGGCAACATCTGTGTGCTATAGAACTAATTGAAGTAGCAGAAGTGGCAGCTGTAAATCCACAGGAAGATGGCAGTTTGTACCCAGCACTGCTGAGCTAGCTACTAACTGTCAGCCTGTTCCCGCAATCTGCTCTCGAGGACCACGGCACAGGCACACAGTGTCCAAAAAAATACAGCGAGGAGGCTAATGATCCTATTAACCACTTTGCTGTACCAATTTGGCTGTTTTTCCAGTTTCCTTGTTGAATTTCATTATAAATTTCTCCATTCCTGTAAAAAGTCCAGTATGAGACGTGTCTGACTTTAAACTACTTACCTGAGCCGAGGAACGCGCGTCTGGCCAGGCCGAACGGCGGATTGATTTTTTTGGTTATTTAATAATTCTGCTTTCCCCCC